CATTGTACTCTGTTCCCTGTGCAGAGATTTATTTTGTCATGTGATCTTACACAGTTAAAGTGGGCCTTTCAACAACTCTGTCTGAATGAATAAATTCTTGGCATGTCTCAAAATACAAAAACAGTATCATTTTTCAAAAACATTTTACTTTTATCATAAAAAAGGCAACAAATTCCAGTCCAATGATTTTACCTAGGCTGAGATGATGTCATCAGTGTGCTGCAAGCAAGAAACTATTGGCGGGGGTTTCTATTGCCGGGCTGACCTTCATAGCCTTGTACAGCAGTCACATTAAGAATTTACATTACAAATTTGATTCATTTATAAAGTATGATCTATGAATCAGCTGTAATTATACCTATATGTATTTTACATAGTTATTCACTATGGAGAATGATTTGCGCTACTTTAATATAATGTCTTGTACAGTGATTTTAACTTTTGTTTTAGCCTATGGGGACCATGGCACAGTTTGAATAAATAATATATTGCCTTCCTACTTTATTGCTGCCTACAAATTAAATCAGTCATGCTATTAAAATTACATTGTTACGTTGAATGTTTAACTATCCAAGGAAAAATGTAAATTCTAGTTATGGAGGATCAATAGATTGTAAGCTCCCAGGATCAGGCCCTCCTAACCCTCTTGTGTTGAACTTTATCGTTGCTGTATTGTCTCCCTTTATATTGTAAAGCACTGAGCAAATTGTTGGCACTCTATAAATCCTGTATAAAAATAATAATAAAAGGGGTGCAGGAACCTTCAAAAATATATGGATCCTAAAAATGTATATTTTCTTGAACTGAAATGATCTAGAAAGCTAGAAATCACCCTTATTGGAAGCTAGGTAATCAATTTGCTCAGTAGATTGAACAATGCCAGCCAATATCTGGATCTGATCCATTTCAGTTAGTTTACATGCCTTTTAACGAGATTTTTTAATGCAGAAAATGTCAGGTGAAGGTAGTACAGAGAATACCAACACAGGGTATAATAACCATGTAGTGTCCATTGGGTAGTGCATAGAGGTGCACAGAGGAGATAAAGAAAACCCCCTGAGATGTGCAATGGTCAAATATCTAACATAGGTGCTATATACATGATAAATAGAAGGCAGACAACCCAATTTGTGTTCTTCAGATTGCAGGATCTATATGGCAGTTGGGTCAAGGGTAGTACAGGTAGGAGGTATCTAGGACTTATGAAAAGCCCAGGTGGATCCCATCCGTAGCATTATATATTGCAGAGACTACACATGTTCAGGATGTCGAAGTTGACAGGGTAGATATAGCCAATCCATGGTTGCCAGATATCCAAGAATTTGTCAAGCTTATCTGTAGAGATGGATGTAAGATTCCTATTTAAAAATAGATTGCTTTATCTGGTCTTGACTTTGCTGAAGTAAATGGAAAGGGTTTTCCACATTTTTTACCAATTGTTTGATTAGTTGCACTAAAGAATAAATGCTTGTATGGGGATTTTCCGAATAGAATAGAAAGGCTTCCCAAGGGTCTTTCTGTAGGTTTCTCTAAAGAACAGTGTAATATAATAATATACTTTGCTTCATAAGCAGCCATGGCATTTGAAAAAACGACAGGTCATTTAAATTACAGAAAACATACAGGTACAAATGAAAAAGAACATATGTGTGTGTAGCCAGGGGCTGGACTACAGCAATATGGAGAAGAAGACATTGCCAGTTAATCTTCTCTCTCTCTACTGAGATACTGATGTTATGCCACCATTCTCTTTTGTTCAGGGAGAGAGCAAGCAAACCTGTAGAATTCTATGCGGAGCCCTCAGAATCCTTGGAGTTGTAGTTTGAGGCTGTAGCCATATAATGGGATGAATAGACTTCTTACACAACAGATACCAATAGTCACTGTGCAGAAGGAGGAGAGGAAAGATGATTTTTTTTTTTAAACTGCCTGGGAAAGTTCTTCCTCTTGGCACTGAGGGAGTGAGAGAGAAAGCACTTCTGTCTGGATATTTGCTTACCAGCGGGAGAAGACCATACCAATGGAGATCCACGACTGAGACTGGGAGTAAGGACACCCAGGTGCAGCTCATCACAGCCAACATCACAGTACCTGAACCACTGCCACAGGGAGATTTGCGCATTCACGTACCCTCTGCTTTCCACCACTGATCACCAGAGGCTTTCGGGGAGAGACCAATGGACCCCCCTTCTACAGCGATAGGTCACTGCAGCATCTCAGAGACTGGTGAGAGGGCTATTTTCCCATTGCTGACACTTAGAACACCATGTGTGCCCAATCCATACCGCACGTATTCCAAACCTAGACTGCATCTAAGCAAACCCCATACCGCATTTTACTGAACCTTTATCGCATCTGAACCACGTCTACCTTGCATCTGTGCCGAGACTATACCATACCTATACTGTACCTATACTGCATGCAGGTCAACTAAGACTGTCGTTAAGTGCACCAATACTCTTAAGGGGGCCTGAAAAATAGCCAGAAGAAGAACATCCAAAAGGACTGCCCCTCTCTTAAAATTCATTCTGCGAGCCTCCTTTGTTCCCCTGTCTCCTCTGCTACCATCCAATCCTCATTTTCTTTTGAACAGTGCATATCCAGTCAGTCTAGGACCAGCATCACCACCATAAATGCACTTAAACAATATAGTTTGATCACTCAGTAGATTAAACTTTACGACTGCTCGCTGTGGTGGCCTTGCTAATGTTTATGCTGATCTGGACGCGACATGTCATTTTATGCCTAGAAACTACTGTTATTCACTTTGTATGCTAAATTGTGTTATCACAATTGGTAATCTGTTTTATGCTTGCCTAGTTACAAACCATTATAGTTGACAATATATTAAGTTTGTCTTTACTGCCTGGTTTGTGCCTGTTTTCTTTGATATAGCACTACTATTATGTATGTTTGTACACTCAACCTGGTGTGTCAGAGGGGCTGAGGTTCTTGAGATGGGAACAGAGGAACCATCCTAATCAATGGCTCCTACAGGGGTAGCACTACATATGTATTCTTTATATTTTCTTCTACTCTTCTCCAAAATTTACTTGTGATTTGTTTTTCTAGGTGCCCAACCTACAGCCCAAGGGCCACATGCAGCCTGTTATCACTTATTCAGCAGTTTGACTTACCTGTAAAATCCATTTCTTGGAGCACTACAAAGCCAATGAACCTAGTGAGTGAAGGATAAAGGGTACCACATCCAAGAATAAACAAGAAATATGTGCAAATAACTGGACTAAAATTGCAAAGTTTATTCAGAAAGAATTGGAAATATAAAAACCATTGAGTCAAAAGTATATAATATAAATCCCTAACATTCTGCGTTATTTCTGACATATACATATAGGTCTCCCTTATTAAGCTATATACAGTATATTTCACATTTTATATTCCATTAAATCATGAGGCCTGTTGAGCCATAATTGCAGGTATCAAGGTAGAGCTGTTAGGGGGGATTCAGGATTCCTCAATGTTTTCCGGAGAGAATAGCTTCATCAGGAAGATGGAGGATTTGAAGAAACAATCATCTAAGTAAGCATATACTGTACATAACAAAGTAAATCATAATATCATAGACAATTCATGTTTAGATCTGTAAACTTAGAGAAAGGTAAAGAAATTGATTAATAATAAATATATCTGACTCACTAAAAACAGCAGGGTCCACAGTGTGAATATGCTCTGGAGTGAGCGTGGGAGTGCAAAGGCCAAGGCCGCTATAGACAGAGGAAATATAATATAGGATTATTGGGTTCAACTATATTAAAGGTACATAACACTGCTGGGGTTGTAAAAAAAAGAAAAAGAAAATCACCCACCTATAGACTGTTATATAAGAGTTATCCTACTACAGATTATACTATATATCCAAAGTATAGGTGCCCATACATACTACAAATAGAGTGGGAGGGCTAGAAATCCTTTAAAAAGAACCAATGGTATATTTGTATCGTATAGTTTGTTTAGTCGGTTTCCAGATCTTCTATGTGACCCCCCCCTTTCCCCCCTCTGCCAATACGGGCACTGGGAGACAGAAGGAAGATCACTGTGATGTGGGCTGTCTCCCCCCCTTTTCTCATCCCCCACCGCCACTGAACAGAGGGACCAAGTGCAACAGCAGCAGGTGGCCTGTGTCTGTGAGAGCGTTCTATTTACTTGCTCACTCTGTATACCCCCCCCACCCCCCCTGTCCTGGCAGTCAAACTCGGCTAATGAGGATATCTGCAGAACTACAGATCCCAACAGACTTGGAGACACCAGGAATGAGAAAGGATTTCTACTGTACTGCCCAGGAAAGTTTGGGTTTTTGCGTCTAGGATCCTGAGGAGTAAGGACCTTTACCAGTCTGTTCCTCTGACCCCAAGTGTCACAAGTTAGCCTGCAGCCTCTTGTTTGTTTAGTCTTACCTCCTTGCTGTTCTTGTTTCCTTCATGTGTGTTTGTCTGTGCTCACCTATGGGCATCGTCTGCTTTCCCTGGGTTTTATGTCCTTCCCTGTCATCACTTCCTGGCCCGCCTCCTAGCTGGTTTGTCTATTTAAGACATGCTCAGTCTGTCTCACTTTGCCTGAGCAACGTTTGTTGTCGGAGCTCCCCTGTTTCTACTGAGTATCTGTTATTTTATATCTGTGTACCGACCCCGGCTTCGTCCCTGACATTCCTCCTATATTGTCTATCCGTGTACTGACCCCGGCTTCGTTCCAGACATTGCTAGGTTTCCACCTGTCCTGACCTTGGCTTGCCAACTGGATCTCCTGTGTTCTACTCCCATTGTACCTTGCTCCTGCTAGCGGTCTCTTCTACCTCAGCTGGGTGTACCTGGGGGCCGCGACCTGGTTCCATCCTGCTCCAAGTCCATCCCCATCATCAGGGGCTCTGGTGAATAAGCAGGCTGGGGCTTAGACTCCACGCCCTGGGGAACCACAAGTTGTGGATTTGAGAGCTCACTATCACAGGTGCTGAACACGGATAGACAATATAGGAGGAATGTCAGGGACGAAGCCGGGGGTCGGTACACAGATATAAAAATACAGATACTCAGTAGAAACAGGGGAGCTCCGACAACAAACGTTGCTCAGGCAAAGTGAGACAGACTGAGCATGTCTTAAATAGACAAGCCAGCTAGGAGGTGGGCCAGGAAATGATGAAAGGGAAGGACATAAAACCCAGGGAATAGCAGACGACGCCAATAGGTGAGCACAGACAAACACACATGAAGGAAACAAGAACAGCAAGGAGGTAAGACTAAACAAACAAGAGGCTGCAGGCTAACTTGTGACACCAAGAATCAATTGGAGAAGGGGACCTGATCCTGCTACCAAGTTAAGGTCACTGGGTGAAGTGCATCATTGGCGGCACTGGTAGTACCTGGGATTCAAACCCAGAGAGGCTGGAGCATCTATCCACCAATAGTTTATGCCACTGTTCACCGGAGTCTTCAGGGAGAGACTGAGGGGGCCCCTTCTACCTTGGATGCTACAGCTGTATCCTGGGACTGGTGAGAGGGCTATCAGCCCATACAGCACACTGCTAGTAAGGACTGAGTTGCTGAGAGCAGGATGCTAAGTACACCCAGCTCATACCGCATTCATCCCAGACCTACAGTTAGGTCCATATATATTTGGACACAGGCACAATTTTCGTTTTTTCAGATATTTAACAAACCATATTCAAGCTATAGTTATACAATGGATATGGGCTGAAAGTGCACACTCTCAGGTTTAATTTGAGGGTATGTACATCCAAATTGGAGGAAGGGTTTAGGAATTACAGCTCTTAAGAGTAGCCATCCCCCTGGACAATTGAATCAAAAGCTGTTTCATGGCCAGGTGTGGGCTACTCCTTCGTTATTTCTTCATCAATTAAGCAGGTAAAAGGTCTGGAGTTGATTCACACACACAAGATACCAGTGGGGGAATAGACCCAGAAAATATTTAATGAGGAGGTTAAAGGAACAGAGATCCAAAAATTTTATATAAAAAGTTAAAGATGGGAAAGGAGAAATAGTGTATTCCACTACTGATATCGCTAACAGGTTCCAAAAAATATAGTGCACTGTATGATGTGAGCCATAGAAATCAAAAGGAAACGTAGGAGAAAAAGAAATATTTAAGTGAGGTGGAGCTGCCAAGATTAGCAGAAGAAAAGCTAGAGGCCCTTGAGAGAACTATTACCCCCGGAGGAAATTAATTTAGCCTTAAATAACAAGGAAAACGCTTGGGTCCGGATGGATATACTGTGGGATATTTTAAAAAATGTAGAGATCTTCTTGTCCCTAAAATGTGTAGCTATGTGAATGCACTCGGGGAGGGGTTGGAAATGAGGGAGAAGTCATTACAAGCTTATATAGCGATCATTCTTAAAGAAGGGAAGGATAGCTCACAGTATGCCAGTTATAGGCCCATATCCTTATTAAACATTGATACAAAATTATATGCTAAGGTGTTGGCAACGAGACTGAAGGAGCTGATACTGGAATGGGTACATCTGCATCAGGTGGGCTTCATTCCTGGAAGAGAAGGAAGGGACAATGGTTTTAGATCTTTGATCCTCTTACAAAGAGTTAAGAGAGAGAAAGTGCCAGCAATACTCCTTTCGATTGATGCCAAAAGACCTTTGATAGGGTTAATTGGGGATTTATGTTTGACACACTAGAAGCACTAGGAATATGGCCCAAATGCTAAAATGGATAAAAGGGTTGTATAATGGTCCGTCAGCGGCAGTTAAGGTCAATGAATCCCTCTCCCAGTTTTTTAGAATGTACAACAGTACTAGACAAGGAGGCCCCCTTTCTCCTTTATTATTTGTACTGTCCTTGGAACCCGTCCTGGCGAGGGTAAGGAAGTATGTAGATATTGCAGGAATAAAGATAGGGGATGTGGAGCATAAGGTGGCAGTATACGCAGATGATATGCTGTTCTATATTGTTAACCCTAGAATAACGTTGCCTAACCTAATGAGAGTATTAAAGCAGTATTTTGAGCTGTCAAATCTGAAAATAAATCCGGCAAGGTCAGAAATTTTAAATATCAATCTCTCAATGTCAGAGAAGCTGAGTTTACAAAAAGAGTTCCTATTTATCTGGAGGGAAAAGCAAATAGGCTATTTGGGAGTAACATTAACTCCCTCAATAAAAGGCCTATATCAGGCACTATATTCCATTAATAAATTAAATAAAGGATGAGCTGGGAAGACTTTCAAAGGGAGGAGCCTCTTGGATAGATCATATAAGTTGATAAAGAGTGTGATAGTGCCAAAAATTCTGTATTAGTTCCACATGCTCCCGGTACACCTTCCAGGGTCTTTCTTTGGGATAATAAAGAAGATGATACTCAGGTTTATATGGGTAAATAAGAAACCGAGAATCAGTTATGAGGTTTTGAGTAGGGCAAAAGGGAATGGGGGTTTGGGCTTGCCCATTGTGAGGAATTATTATCTAGCGGTGATTTTATCACGAATAGCAGATTGGATATTTAATTCACAAGGGAAGGGTTGGGTAAATACAGAAGGGATTTTAAGTAAGGTACAGTTAGGGAATATTGTATGGATACCACATAAGTTTCGCACATTGGATGTGAACACTAGTTCATTGACAAGGAAAGTTTTAGGTGTATGGGATAGAATGTACAGGGGGATCGAAAGTTTGGGCACCCCAGCTAAAAATTTGTATAATGTGCATAAAGAGGAAAGATGGAAAAATCTCCAAAAGGCATCAAATTACAGATTAGACATTCATAATATGTCAACAAAAGTTAGATTTTATTTCCATCATTTACACTTTCAAAATAACAGAAGACAAAAAAATGGCGTCTGCAGTATTTCACCCCAGAGGTACTGCCCCCTTTGGCAAGTAACAGCTTGTAAACGCTTTTTGTAGCCAGCCAAGAGTCTTTCAATTCTTGTTTGAGGTATCTTTGCCCATTCTTCCTTACAAAAGTCTTCTATTTTCTTTGAGATTTCTGGGCTGTCTGTCACGCACTGCTCTTTTAAGGTCTAAGGATTTTCAATTATGTTGAGGTCAGGAGATTGTGAAGGCCATGGCAAAACCTTCAGTTTACGATGTAATCCCCCGTGGATTTCAAGGTGTGTTTAGGATCATTATCCATTTGTAGAAGCCACCTTCTTTAACTTCATTTTTCAAAGGCATCAAGAATCCAAAATTTGCTGATTTTATTGAATTTTTTCACATTAGATGTTCCCTGTGCCACTGGCTATTGATTGATCCATTTAACAGTTGGACAGAGGTTCTTTTCATTTTCTGTTTCTTCTCCAAACGTACCCATTCCGGCCAAAAAGTTCAATTTTAACCTCATCGGGTGAACTTGTTTCCAAAATGCATCAGGCTTGTCTATATGGCAAAGTTCAAACGATGATTTTTGTGGTGAGGACGTAGAAGAGGTTTTCTTCTGATGACTCTTCCATGAAGACCATATTTGTACAAGTATCTCTTTATAGTGGAATAGTGTACCACAACTCCAGTGTCTGCCAGATCTTTCTGGAGGGATCGTGCAGTCAAACTGGGTTTTGAATTGTTTTTCTCACAAAAAGCTGGTCTGATATTTTTCTTGGTCTTCCAGATCTTGCTTTAACTTCCACTGTTCCTGATGACTGCCATTTCTTAATTACATTCTGAACAGAGGATATTGACATCTGAAAACGCTTTGCTATCTTCTTATAGAATTATTTTCAGTTTCAGTTTTCTAGACAACTGCTTAGAAGAACCCATGGTGCTGATTGTTGGGCAAGGTCAGATGAGTCTGGGCATTTAAAACCTTTGAGATTGACATCACCTGGTCTTCCCAGACGATGATTGAGAACAATCCATGACACTGGCAGGTCTCAGCTTGGCAAAGGGGACAATGCATGCTATAAATTCTGCAGGGTGCCCAAACTTTTGCAGATGCCATTTTTTTGTCTTCTGTTATTTTTGAAAGTGTAAATGATGGAAATAAAATCTAACTCTTGTTGACATATAAGAATGTCTAATCTGTATTTGATGCCTTTTGGAGATTTTTCCATCTTTCCTTGGCTTCTTTATGCACATTAATACAAATTTTTAGCTGGGGTGCCCAAACTTTCGATCCCCACTGTATAGGCAAAAAGGATGGAAATATAATTCAGTATTGACTCCCTTGATGGGAATGGAGTATTTCCCCCAGGGAAGGATAATACTTTTGGGAAATGGATTAAAGATAAGATAGCACATTTGAAGGATATATTGAATGAAGGGAAATTTCACACTTTTCAAGATTTAAAGAAGAAAAAAGATTTATTTTTCACATTAGATGAATGGCGGTATTGTCATTTAAACCATTTTGTTTCAACGCCCCCACAACCACTGAGGACGTTGGAGGACATGTATCCATTTGAAAAATTGTTGAATGTAAATATAGTTCCAAAACAAGTCACCGCTAGGATATATAAGATCCTTATGGTTATGGAAGGAACTGATCCTGGAAAAATGGGAAAAGGAGCTTGGAACAGAATTGAATGAGCAACAAAAGAATAGAATTTTTAAAAACTAACGCACAAGGTGATGAATATGAGCACAGTTGAAATTAATTTTAAATGTTTGGTGAGATGGTATATTACACCATCTCGCCAGTGTGGCACATAAACAACAAGTAGATATTTCACCTTTGTGTTGAAGAAGAAGATGAAGAAAAGTGAACAATGGCACACATATGGTGGGATTGCCCAAAAATACAGGATTACTGGAAGGAAATAATCCAATATACTCAGGAGATATGTGGAATGACTGTACAGAAAGACCAGTGAACGTGTCTGTTCTATAATTTTGAGCCTTCAGTGAAACACATGAAAACAGAGTACTTTATCACCTAATTAGCGCAGCTAAGGGCCTGATTCCCAAGCTCTGGCTGGTTCGGGAGCCACCAAGAATAAATGAATGGGTGAATAGAGTTGAAAATATCTATAGCATGGAGGAGTTATATCACATAGAGGAGGATAAAATGGAAAAATTTAGGAAAACTTGGTGTAGTTGGTTAAAATTTAAAACATCTGAAAGATACATGGAACTTGTTGGAGCTGAGGGGGAAGTCAGGAGAGGGTTTAATGAAGAATCAGAGAGAGAGCGTGGAGGAGTGAGGGAAGGGTTATAGATACAGATAGATAATCATG